AAGATCTGAACCTTCAAAATAAAACAGGAAATCCACAGACAGAATACAGATAACTCTGACAGGGAACAGAAGGAACACAGTACAGAGGCCAGGGTGACATCAGGGGCAAACGAATACACAAGCTAAGAAATACAGACCCACAAAAGTCGCGCTTTGCTCACAGTGAGTCAGGACTCCAAAAAAAACAAAAACAAAAACTGGAGTTTAAATATTCACACAAAAAATATTTCAAAAGTACTTTAGTTGTTTTCCCAGCAGGGATTTGTTTAATTTTCTTACCCTTGTGACACTTTAAGTTGGATTTTGAAAAATAACCTATCAAAAAGATGGTTCCTGACAATGAGAATAAAAGTTATGTTAAGGTTGCATTACTCAGTAGGCAGCTGTTCTTGTGGTTCATATCAGATGGAAGATCACACTAACTCTAAGTCATTAAATATTAATATTAGTTTTCTGAATTGCACATGATGAACAAACATTTTATGTATGAGCACATGTTGACAATGTTAAATGTCAAGTTTAGAATAAAGATAAGAACACTTTATTAGGTGTAAAATTGCAAAATAGTTTATTATAAACTAAATTTAAAGCAAAATAACAGGAACATTAAATTGTGCCATTATATATCATAGAGCCTTAAAAAAAAAACCTCTAAATATAAAAAATCTGTCATTTAAAAAAATAACTTTAATGTCCAAAGCTACAAATAAGTAAGAGCACATGTGAAACAAGGAATGACACTTTGCTTTAAGCTCCCATGCAATGTCTTGAAATTGTAAACTTTCTAGTATTTGATTGATTGCTACAAGAATCAGGATTATACTCGAAGAAACAGAGTTACAGATTTGAGAATGTCGCACTGAATTAAACTGTTCTACTGCAGATTCCCTGCACTTTATGAAAAACTTCAATAAGACTGTAAATGTAAATCTAAAATGTAAAAACAATAATATAAGGCTAATTTTTTAAATCACTAATTTATTTTGGTTTTACATGCAAAAAACATTTTGTTTCCCTAAACTGAAATGATTTGGACTGAAAATGCAAAAAAAGAAAAAAAGAACAAAACATTTATAAAGGTGACAAAAAAAAAAATCTACAATTTAAACTCAGCGAATATCTAAACATAGAAGAAAAGGCACTGACACACAGGGAGAAAGTTTATGGTCGCCTAGTTACGATTCATTATCTGACTGAACCCCCAGACTCTCCAGAGATCTGACCTGCTCTAGAGCGCCTCTCGTAGAAGGGGCTTTCCTCTCTGACCCTTCTGATCCTGACTGACCTACTGTCACCAGCCTTCCATTTCCCCTGTTCCTTGACCCTACTGATCCCACAGACTCTTTGTCGCTTAAAATGTCACTAACACTTACAGATGAACCACCTCGAGATCCATTGCTATGAGAAGCACGGTTGTAAGTGTAGCTGTTGCTGAAGCTGTATCCATGGGAACTGTTGTTTCTGTGAGAGTTGCTGTTGCTCGTGGGGTGGCTTGGCCGAGTCTGGGAAGTTTTACCAAAGGAAATATTATCAAAGGACTTTTGGCTATAAAAACTGTGTTCAGAGCCTGAGTCGTGCTGGGTGTCAGGCTTTGAAAAATGATTTGCTTCCTCTTCTACATCCACTACACCACTTGCTGCTGGTGCAGAAGCCTGAGTGAAAGTTACATCAAGTGACCTTTCTTTATGAAGGGCTGCTCTAGTAGGGGATGGAGACTTGTGCAATCTGGTGTCAGACAATCCAACGGGGTAGGCAGATGGGGCACCTCCTACCTAAAAACCAGAAATTACATTTGATGAGACAATGTGAAAAACGATTCTATTCTAACTATTCTAATCAAAACTAAAACTGAAGTAACATTAATAATGTCTCATTAACAGATACTCCTCTCATCCTGAGCTGCAAAAGAGAATGTGAATGCATTAAACTATAATTCTTGAACCTAACAATCTGTAGTCAAAGTTAATCTACATTTCTGCTTGATGTGCTTACAAATCTAATGTCCACCATTATCACAGAGGGCAAGTCTACAGTGCTGTGAAGCAATGATTTATTTATCCACAATTTGCGTACAGATTTGTGCGCAAATTGGCTTATGCAAACTTTAAAATATTCACCCCACCTGCCAACAGAACATGCTTCCAAAGTTTGCTCTGCATATTCTTACCAAAGACAGAGCATCGATCCTGTAACGCCCTCCAGGCGGTGATGTCACACCATGCAAAAGTGGTTCTATTGTGGAGGAAAGCTGAGGTCTTCCCAGAGGGTGGAAATCTGACTTGTCAATTCCAGCCATTGAAGCTAGCTGACCTAAGCTACAAGAAATTTAAAAAAAGACATGCAATCAATTAAAAATGAACTTCCAGAGTAGATAACCAGCTAATACCAGCCTACCTTTTTCCTACAACAAATGCAAATAAAAAAATGATTATGGTAAGATGTGACTAAGATAATAAGATATTGGGTACACTGGTGGTGTAACGGTGTGAGGGGATATTTTCTTTGAAGCCCTTTATAATTGCACCACAGCTAATCTGACTACTCTCACTGATCCCTTTATGATCCCAGTGTACTCACCTTCTGATGGCTGCTTTCAGCATGATAACGTCATATTAGTCTTTGAACATGACAATGAGTTCACTGTACTCAAAGAGCCTCCACAGTCACCAGATCTTAATCCAGCAGAGCATATGTTTGCTTAATCTATTCTATTAATAATTAAGGTAGTTCTGAAAGCAAAAATGGGTTCAACCTTGTGCAAGAAGATGCACCTAACTAAGTGGCTAGTGGGCGCATTTTAGATTTAAAAAGATTCCAGAATGACATCCTGACTGAGTGAGTGACTGACTCAAAGATGACTGCGAAATTATACCAAACCCATGGGCTTTGGTTTCCACATATTAATCCAAGAAATGACAATGACAAACCTAGAGTTTCGTTTTGAATGAAACCCATCCTGTCAGAATTAAACTGCAGAATCAATATCAAATTGGCCAATATTAAAATTAACTTATCCCAAGTCAAATACGAGCCATTAACTACACAACCTGTGGTTTTTCCAAACATAACAATTTAATGATACATCACTAACAGAAGTGTGTAATCTGAGTATATGCTCTTTCTATACCACTTGAATGAACTTACTCTTGCAGACCACATTGTTACACTATAAATGATAAGAGCTACAATAATAAGCTGCTTCATCGTGCAGCTGAAATATTAAAGCTACACAAAAGTTTACTCACAGGGTGCCAGACTGTAATACTGTACAAAAATCAAGCAAACACTTTTCTGCAATGTTTTGTACAATGCACAAAGATAACTTTATAAAAAATAAAATATAATAAATAACTGTAGGTATCGTCCTAAAACACACATTAAATGTAACAAGGGGAAGAAAGACAGTTAAATATAAGCCACTTAAAATGGGGATCCATTCAAAACAAAACTAAAGGCCAACTTCTGGCTCAAGAAGTGGAAAAAAGCACACCCACACATAATGAAACTGAAAGATTTTTAAAGAACGGATTTTCAGTAAACCACGTAGGTCCTGTGACAACAGTGGCATTTTGTAATTGCTGCCATTAAAAATACCCACCCAGCATCTTTGAGCAAATCCAGGAAAGCGTGAAACTTAGTGAATGATGTCTCAATGCTCTCCAGAATTGCCTCATCTTCAAGAGCACTGGAAGCCGGTGGTGCTAATGCAGAGCCACTGGCAGCAAGTGCCTCTGACAGGGAGTGATTGGCATCTCGAAGACGAGCATTCTCCAGCTCATACTGAACAGAAATTACATAAAGAATAAAGGCACAGTCTTATTTATTCATTAAAAAAAACCCCAAAAAACACGACTGTTCAATAAAACTGACTCTTCAATAAAGGACGAGCTGTTGCATTACTTCATGAAAAATCAATAAGTACCTCCCACCTGACTCACAAAGAATCACACTATTTTCTATAAACAACTTTGAGAATCAAATAACATGGGAAATAACACAGTTTCAATAGCAAAAGTACACCAATTAAACCAACATGCTGTTTTCTGTTAATTCCCTGGAGTAAATTTAAAACAACTTTAGATTTGCAGCCACTAGAATGAATCTCTCTTGCACTTATGAGGGCTCAAAATTGCTGGTCAAAAATAACAGATTAAAAAAAAAAATGTAAAAATGTTGACCCATTTTTGTGTATTTCAAGGGTCTGTGATTTGGAACATGTTGGTCAAATTAATTGTCAAAGATTTTAAGAAATCAGCTGATTGTGAGAGGGTTGATTTTCTATGGATTTTCTATGATTAAAACTTGCAATAAAAGGAAAACATTAAAAATAAATAACAGGCATTAATTTATCTGTATGTATTACAGATTTTATTTACCTCCATGAGCCTGGACTCAGCCTTCAGTCTGGCCCTCCGCTCTTCTCCGAGCCTCATACGGCATTCGTTTAGCTCCATCTACAGGGCATGGATCAGAAGAGCAGTGTGTGAGGTGGTTTTGTTTAATGAACTCTTCACATACCACATCTTTGACTTTAGAAGCAGCAAAAACACATTACAAAAATGACTAACCTGTATTTGTTCAAACCTCCGCGAAATGAATCTGTCCTGACGATTAAGAGAAGATGGTCTCGGTTCCACTTCCACCACTTCCTCTTCATCATCCTCCTCTGCCTCTGAATCCGACTCCATGGTAACTTTCACTGTGGCTGCACCCTAATAAGATATTAACATTAATGCTGCTGTTTAGGGCTCTTTATTCATTACGCTGCATTACACACAGACACAAGACAGCTTACCTGAAAGCTATGGTCTGTTACAGTAATTCCAGGAGGCAAACCTCTGCAGAAGCAAAAACATAGTATTAGTCTCTACATGACTATAATAAACAGTGAATGCTTTTTAAACATATAATTACATTCCCTACAGGTTTCCATATGCAGAAAAAATAAACTTCCAGACCCCCAAAACACACACACAATCCAAACTATCTTCCAAACTTATTAATGGAACATAGTTTTTGTTGTTTGCTTGTTGTTTCTTCTGAACATATCTTCACCTTTGGCGTCCAGCTCGTGCAGCAGCACGCCAAGGCACATGGGGGGTGCGTGATGGCTTAGGTTTCAGAGCAGCAGCTGAACTCCGTCCACCGGGAGATGGTCCTTTATGAGTGGCTGCAAAGAGAAGACATGTCCATGAATTCTGAGAAATCTTCACCTCTAAGAAGGGCGCAGCGTTGATGATGCAAAGTCCTCATAGTATTATGAACTGTACTTTATCACCATTTATTAAAAGTGCCTTGAGGTGTCTGTTGTGATTCGGCACTATATAAATGAATAATAATCAATCCATCCATCGTCTTTTGCCATCCAATTCAGGGACGTGGGGGGTCTGGAGTCTATCCTAGGAGTCTCAGGGCGAGAGGCAAGGTACACCCTGGACAGGCCGCCAGTCTGCCACAGGGCTAACACACAGAGACAGACAACCATTCACACTCGCATCCACACATATGGGCAATTAACCATCATCAATTAACCTAACCTTGCTAACTGCATGTCTTTGGACTGCAGGAGGAAGCCGTAGGAACCCACACAAACATGGGGAGAACATGCAAACACCACACAGAAAGACCCTGGCCTGAGAGAGGACTTGAACTCAGGGCCTTGCTGTGAGGCAACAGTGCTAATCACTGCATCACTAGGCATTAATGTACATTAATAATATTTAATTAAACTGAACAATGATAAATGACAAACTGATAAATCTTTGCTCACAGAAAATTGTTAGGTCCCTCCCAATAATAACACAAGATATGCGCAAAATAGTGGAAGTGATTATAATGGCCAGCAGAACATGTGTGTGGGCTTTCCATGAATTAATCAATGCAAAAATGATAAGAACTACATGCTTTGTGAAACTAGCAGATATTACTTGCTTCTAACAAGCAGGGTATAAACATCACACGCAAATAGATGAAAGACTAATTAATCTAGGTGAGTATCTAGTGAAATCATCCTATAAATAAGGGCAAAGTCAACTAAACCATAATCAAACACATCACAAATTCAAGATTATTTTTGCACCTATCAGCAGGAGAAACAAAATAAAATCACAATGAATTCAGTTCTTACCATGTCTCCAGATGACTTAAAAATTTAATTTGAGAAGTTGAAAAGACACCGAGAATAAGCAATACTATCTCAAACAGACTGAAAGAAATCCTCCAGTGAATTTACACTGCACACATACATGCACAAAAACCCCCAACATAAAACAGAGAAATGTGCCTATGCTCATAAAAATAAATGAATAAATATCTGTTTTTAATAGGCTGATTTTAGGTGTACAACCAGAAATACTGAATTTACTGTGTTTTGTCTGACTAGGGAGACAATAACATGGAGTTACATGCAGTCTGTCTGTGTTTATCTGGAACATGGAACAAGAAAAATGTATGTATACATAAATACCTATTCTAAATGCAGCTTTCCCTCTGACTGTACTGGGTAATGCTCTCCTCCTTGGACCAGAAGCTCTCTGTGGTTCTGACGCTGCAGGCTTGATCCAGCAATACTGCAGGACAACATAAGGAAGACACATGCATACAAATACACCACCTAGAGCCCCCCTGGAATATTTCTCCCAAAAACTTACCTCTGGTGACTGTCCATGACCATTCATTAGTACTTTCTCTATTATAGTTTTAATTAGGAGTTTATCTGAAAGGAAAACTCAAAATCAGTGAAGATTAAGTACCAGAAACATTTCTAGAAATTTATGTTTCGTTGGTTTAGAGATGAACTACTACATGACTGATGTAATTACAGTATTACTCAAATGATTTTTCTACAATTGGAAAGTGCCACGCACACACAGAATTTGGTTTGCATTAATATGTCAAATGGAAACGTAAAAACAAACCAGCTCAAGCAGTGGAACGAACAATATTTTATCAGATTGGGAAAAGTGCTATTAAGTCTGGAAAAAAACAAGAAAATGCTATTGCCTTGACTTAGGTAGCAACTTACCAACTAACGGGTTACCACGGATATCCAGCACACACAAAGAAGAATTCGTTTTCAAGGCTTCTAGCAAACGACGAGCGCCTTCGTTGGAAAGACCACATCTTTGCAGGTCCACAGCTGTTTTACAAGCCAAAAATCAGAAACAGAAATCCTATCAAAAATTTGTACAATAAGGAAAACAACAAACACCACAAACTCACAAATCTACTAACCTTTAACCCAGAGGTCTTCAGCAAGTTCACTCGCAAGAGCCGCAGCACCCCGGTCCCCAATTAAAGTGTTACAGTTAAGTGTGACACGGCGAAGACCTCCCATACCCTCAAACTGCGGCTGTCGATACCTCAGAGACTCCGCCCACGCCGTACCATGTCTTTGCATACCCTGATGCTTTAAGATAAATAAAAGGATTCTTACAAAAGTTGTGATGAAAAATTTTAAGACTCTTCCACTTCTATTACTGAACGAAAAGGCCCACATTGTCTTATTCTATCTTTTATCTTTTATTACATAATGTTCTGACTAACTGATAACTTCTCTCTCTAAATCTTCTAGGCTTAAGCTGCATATACACTGGAAGCGATTCAAGGCCACGTTTTGACTAGAGACCATAGAAAGTGAACAAGTAAAATCGCTTCCAGTGTGTATACAGCTTTACAATCCCTCTGTCAAAAAAACATGCTGCTGTAATCTGCACTGTGCACCTCAATTTTTTCCCTTACAAACTTTTTTAACAATTATTATCTGGATAGTTTACAATTATTAAATAATCATCTCTCAATAAAAAATAAAATAGACTGCCAGATGACACTGAAAATCAAATACTATACCTTGATAATATTGGCCATGTGCTCTGCCCCCCTCCAGGTAAGACTGCATCCACTAAAATCCACTGCCCTGATGTTAGCAGAATACTTAACACTTTGGCAAATGACTAAAACATATAGAAACATAGAGAACACACAGTTACACAGGTAACATACAATACAAACTCCTTTCCTGAACAAAATTAGGAGACAGTAATATAATTGCACATACCCTCTAAGCCCTCATCACTGATTGGACAGTTAACCAGAGATAGGTTTTCCAAGGAAGTGCTTTTTGCCAAACCCTAGATTAGGATCATTTCAACAAAGAACTTGTTTTAATAAATGTCCATTCTAAGAGTGAACAAAAAAGCAACAAACACAGAAAGAGTTCTGAATAACATTTTTAAAAATTAAACAGTTACAATGCTTTGCTTTTAAAATGCTCTGCTTTCACCTTTGTCAGGGTGATGAGGTCCCTTTCTCTCAGTGGAAGTCCATTGAGCTGCAGCGTCTTGAGGTTGGGAGAGACAGTGAGGCACTCTCTGAGGGCCTTGCACAGCTTTAATGTCATATCCTTGGAGCGAATAGCTGGAATCTTCCTCCTGAAGCTAGACTTAAGATATCTTCTATCTGAAACCAATGGTGACATTGTTGTTTTAAGTAAAATCTGAAAATCAACAAGTTTCTAACAGACAATTAAAATCGTATAAACTGTTTCAATAACGTACCTGCCTCTCCAGAAGCCAAACTAGCTTGGTATGTGCTACTTATTGCTATGTGGTGCAGGTGTTTGTTAATGGATATAGAGCTGAGAACAGGTGGCCAGTCTGTTAGCTTCAGCTTGTCTCCACTAAAGTCCAGCATCCCTTTGTTGAGGTTCATTACAACTGCAGGAAGGGGGACAGATTCCTGCCTGGCACAGGCAAACTCATAGTAAGCCATAAAGTCCTGAGCACCCTGCCGCCGAATCTGAGCGCTGTCCGGGGCCATCTCTGATCTAGGAATAAAAATATTCAAAGTAAGACAAAGAGAACTATTTAAATTGGTAGGAGTACTTCAAGATCACAGTAATGGAAAAACAGCACACATCACGGCAACTTTACTTTTACACCATATCGTATTTTTCATACGATTGCTTCAATTTAAGTAGAAAATTCTCCTATTTCTGTGTATATGATTACATCTTTGTCTTCTTCCTGAAGCTGGTCCTTTCAAGGGTCGACACAGAGGATCACGTGCCTCCATCTCACCCCATCTCTAGCATCCCGTTCTGTCACACCAACCCTCTGCATGTCCTCCTTTACTACACCAAGAACCTCCTCTGAAGTCTTCCTCTTTCCCTCCTGCCTGGCAGCTTCATATTCAACATATTTTATCCAATATTGTCCAAACTACTCTTTAATTTCACCTCCAAAACACTTAACCTGAGCCGTCTTTCTGATATACTTTTCTGATCTTGTCTATCCTGGCCACCACCTCAGAAACCTTTGCTTTCACTGGTGTTATCCTTCTGTCACAAATCAACACCTGACACTCGTCTCCAACCACTCCACCCTACCTGCACTCGCTTCTTCACCTCTCTCGTGCACTGTCCTTTGCCCTCGATTGTTGACTGCAGGTATTTAAATATATATATAATTAGACATCTGCTGAAAAAGTTCTAATTCTTAAACAAGTGCTTGTTCAAAGGGGTTCTCTGATTCTTTAATTTTTCTTTATATTATTGCAGCGTCTCTACCTTACAACATAAAGCACCTTGAGTTGACTGTTGCTGTGATTTGTTGCTATAAAAATGACACTGAATTGAAATTGAACTGAATTAATTTACAAAACTTTATTAACGTATTGTTATATCATAACATTTACAGACACAGCAACAAGTATGTGGGGTGGCCATATGCGAGCCACTAAAAATATTGAGGTGGCACACCAAAAACAGAATTTACAGTTTTATTATGCTCTAGGTTACTTGAAAATATGACAAAATAATTCATCTAAAAGAATGACATTCCTACTTAACTTCCTGCTAATAAAGTTTATATCACTGAAAATAGGTAAATATGAAAACCAAATGAGATTTTGAAATCTATATTAATCAGTTTTAACTGATCGACTGATCAATTAATTGAGTGGAAGTCCCAGGATGGCTTCACTGATTCTCAGCAGAGCTGACTAGAAGCAGCTTAAGATTCACTCTCCCAGACTGGAGTTCACTTTAACAGCAAACTTGTTCATGAAATACAAATACATATTAGATCATTAGATTTCCACGTTGGCCCTGAGATGCACAGTGATCTGTCCAGGGACTGGCACCAGCTTTTCTGCACCCTTATTACATTATTCCCAACATAGGGCAGTCAGGGGGAGCCACTGGGGGTGCCAGCAAATTTTGGGGGTTAGCCAGTGCCTCCTCTGGGCCCGCAGAACAAATAAGCTATCAAAATATTTCGATAGCTTTGTTATGTAACTGGCCAGTTATCACTATTAAGCCAAGCCATAACCAGCCCTTCAGCTAAAGACCATACACAGATCATAAGTTTTCGTTAACATTTCAATGTTAACCTTACAATAAAGCTAATCGTTGACTTTCACTGATTTTGAATCTTCACCAATTATCTATGCACAGTGTAACCGCTTTCTCTCATTAAGTGCAGAGCGCTAAGGTTAAACCAGTGGCGTTAGCTCAGCTCGGCTCGGCTCCTAGCAACCAAAGACTGTCTATGCTAGCAGTGAATGTCAGCATCAGGGTCTAGAGCTGCTGTTTTTAATTGTGACTTCATGCATTACACAACTGGATTTAATCAAAATAAAATAATATAATGTACTTTCATACCCAACTAAAGACTATACCGTCGCGGGACTGATGTATGACTTTTCCTCGACGTTGCTTGACAACTTCAGCGGTCTGTTATTGTTGTCAACATAAACGACCGCTCAAAAGTGGCGCTGTAGTGCCAGCAAACCCACGCCCACTTCTTCCTCAGTGTACCATTTGCAGCTCTAGCCAGAGATCTGCTGCCATCTATCAAAGCGGAGCGGTAAAACATATCACAGGGAGTCACAGCCAATGACTGTACGGTCATAACCTATTTAGAGAAGCTTGAGTACATAATAAACTATCCAGTTGTAAAACAGATGACAAACCAAAGAACAAAGAAATCAAAGAAGTTAATCTGCATTCCCCACTGGGCCTAGATTTTCGGAAATAAATGTGTATAATAACCGTTTTGGCTAAGCAAATTTGTGCAAAAATGGATTTGGATTTAAATGCACTGATAAAGATATCCCTATTCTGGTGAATCAACCACTCCTAGTTGAATGAATGTGATGTTAAAAGTTTCTTTCTGCCATTTAGAAATCAGAAATCAGAAAGGGTTTTATTGCCAAATGTTGAGCAGGTTTACAACATTAGGAAATTGCTGCGGTACTTAGTGCGTTATAGTTAAACTGTGGATGCTCCAATTCTACTTAAAGGAACACACATCCACTCTCCATATCCTGTTTGGGAGGAACAGCCACAACCTTCAATTACGTCATTCTAAGAAGTGAATTCAGTGAAACAGTCTTCTATGTAATCATTTCCTTTTTGGTCATTTTGTTGACTGCTTTAGCACTA